CCTCATTTTGTCCGGTCGTGATGGTCAAGTGGATTAAGGCGTCTTGTACATACCAGTTGCGTTGCTCCTGGGAGTATGGGTTCGAGTCACTTCTGGGGTATGAGTTTTCAGTTGCATATTGTCCTGGGGACCATTCAGGCTTGTTCGCATTTGTGTTCCTCACGTGTGCCCCAAAGAATGAGGTGATTTGGTAAAATGCTATGCCCAAGATTACTATCCGAGTGCCGGCGGTGGGGTGGTTCATATAGCTTAGGCTATCACCTCATTTTGTTCGGTCGTGATGGTCAAGTGGATTAAGGCGTCTTGTACATACCAGTTGCGTTGCTCCTGGGAGTATGGGTTCGAGTCACTTCTGGGGTGTGAGTTTTCAGTTGCATATTGTCCTGGGGACCATTCAGGCTTGTTCGCATTTGTGTTCCTCACGTGTGCCCCAAAGAATGAGGTGATTTGGTAAAATGCTATGCCCAAGATTACTATCTGAGTGCCGGCGGTGGGGTGGTTCATATAGCTTAAGCTATCACCTCATTTTGTCCGGTCGTGATGGTCAAGTGGATTAAGGCGTCTTGTACATACCAGTTGCGTTGCTCCTAGGAGTATGGGTTCGAGTCACTTCTGGGGTGTGAGTTTTCAGTTGCATATTGTCCTGGGGACCATTCAGGCTTGTTCGCATTTGTGTTCCTCACGTGTGCCCCAAAGAATGAGGTGATTTGGTAAAATGCTATGCCCAAGATTACTATCCGAGTGCCGGCGGTGGGGTGGTTCATAGAGCTTAGGCTATCACCTCATTTTGTCCGGTCATGATGGTCAAGTGGATTAAGGCGTCTTGTACATACCAGTTGCGTTGCTCGTGGGAGTATGGGTTCGAGTCACTTCTGGGGTTTGAGTTTTCAGTTGCATATTGTCCTGGGGACCATTCAGGCTTGTTCGCATTTGAGTTCCTCACGTGTGCCCCAAAGAATGAGGTGATTTGGTAAAATGCTATGCCCAAGATTACTATCCGAGTGCCGGCGGTGGGGTGGTTCATATAGCTTAGGCTATCACCTCATTTTGTCCGGTCGTGATGGTCAAGTGGATTAAGGCGTGTTGTACATACCAGTTGCGTTGCTCCTGGGAGTATGGGTTCGAGTCACTTCTGGGGTGTGAGTTTTCAGTTGCATATTGTCCTGGGGACCATTCAGGCTTGTTCGCATTTGTGTTCCTCACGTGTGCCCCAAAGAATGAGGTGATTTGGTAAAATGCTATGCCCAAGATTACTATCCGAGTGCCGGCGGTGGGGTGGTTCATATAGCTTAGGCTATCACCTCATTTTTGTCCGGTCGTGATGGTCAAGTGGATTAAGGCGTCTTGTACATACCAGTTGCGTTGCTCCTGGGAGTATGGGTTCGAGTCACTTCTTGGGTGTGAGTTTTCAGTTGCATATTGTCCTGGGGACCATTCAGGCTTGTTCGCATTTGTGTTCCTCACGTGTGCCCCAAAGAATGAGGTGATTTGGTAAAATGCTATGCCCAAGATTACTATCCAAGTGCCGGCGGTGGGGTGGTTCATATAGCTTAGGCTATCACCTCATTTTGTCCGGTCGTGATGGTCAAGTGGATTAAGGCGTCTTGTACATACCAGTTGCGTTGCTCCTGGGAGTATGGGTTCGAGTCACTTCTGGGGTGTGAGTTTTCAGTTGCATATTGTCCTGGGGACCATTCAGGCTTGTTCGCATATATATATATATATATATATATATATATATATATATATATATATATATATATATATATATATATATATATATATATATATATATATATATATATATATATATATATATATATATATATATATATATATATATATATGCGAAGAAGCCTGAATGGTCCCCAGGACAATATACAACTGAAAATATATATATATATATATATATATATATATATATATATATATATATATATATATATATATATATATATATATATATATATATATATATATATATATTAGTATATTTTGGTAGCAGTCTTTCCTGTAGACATATTTTATTAAATATGACCGAAAAAGTAAGATTAATAATTCTAACACGAATTTTCTCAATCTTTCGTACATTATGCTTCACTGTTGGAGGTAAATAAAAAATCACTTCTCCAAAATTCATTTTTATTTCTAGTCTGACGCGACACGGGCGCGTTTCGTAAAACTTATTACATTTTCAAAGACTTCACAAATACACAACTGATTAGAACTTGCGTTTCCCTGATTTTATATCTACATTTGAGTGAGGTGGGAAGGGTGATGTGGCATTACATTTGAGTGAGGTGGGAAGGATGATGTGGCATTAGAGGATATTAATAGGGTATTAAAAGTATCAACACAAGACAGAACACGAAACAATGGATATTGAATAGAAGTGTTTGTAGAAAGCCTATTGGTCCATATTTCTTGATGCTTCTATATTGGAGCGGAGTCTTGAGGTGGGTAGAATATAGTTGTGCAATAATTGGCTGTTGATTGCTGGTGTTGACTTCTTGATGTGTAGTGCCTCGCAAACGTCAAGCCGCCTGCTATCGCTGTATCTATCGATGATTTCTGTGTTGTTTACTAGGATTTCTCTGGCGATGGTTTGGTTATGGGAAGAGATTATATGTTCCTTAATGGAGCCCTGTTGTTTATGCATCGTTAAACGCCTAGAAAGAGATGTTGTTGTCTTGCCTATATACTGGGTTTTTTGGAGCTTACAGTCCCCAAGTGGGCATTTGAAGGCATAGACGACGTTAGTCTCTTTTAAAGCGTTCTGTTTCGTGTCTGGAGAGTTTCTCATGAGTAGGCTGGCCGTTTTTCTGGTTTTATAGTAAATCGTCAGTTGTATCCTCTGATTTTTGTCTGTAGGGATAACGTTTCTATTAACAATATCTTTCAGGACCCTTTCCTCTGTTTTATGAGCTGTGGAAAAGAAGTTCCTGTAAAATAGTCTAATAGGGGGTATAGGTGTTGTGTTAGTTGTCTCTTCGGAGGTTGCATGGCTTTTCACTTTCCTTCTTATGATGAGATATATGAAAGATTGAGAAAATTCGTGTTAGAATTATTAATCTTACTTTTTCGGTCATATTTAATAAAAAATATATATATATATATATATATATATATATATATATATATATATATATATATATATATATATATATATATATATATATATATATATATATATGACAATGTCAGACCACGAAGGAAAAATGAAACAGGAAATTTCCTTAAGTACTTTCGTATATTAAATACATCTTCAGAAGGTGACCTTCTGAAGATGTATTTAATATACGAAAGTACTTAAGGAAATTTCCTGTTTCATTTTTCCTTCGTGGTCTGACATTGTCACATTCTTAATCACGTGTTTATTTTCGTTATATACACACACATATATATATATATATATATATATATATATATATATATATATATATATATATATATATATATATATATATATATATATATATATATATATATATATATATATATATATATATATATATATATATGTCGTACCTAGTAGCCAGAACGCACTTCTCAGCCTACTATACAAGGCCCGATTTGCCTAATAAGCCAAGTTTTTATGAATTAATATATTTTCTCTAATTTTTTTCTTATGAAATGATAAAGCTACCCATTTCATTATGTATGAGGTCAATTTTTTTTTATTGGAGTTAAAATTAACGTAGACATATGACCGAACCTAACCAACCCTACCTAACCTAACCTAACCTATCTTTATAGGTTAGGTTAGGTTAGGTAGCCGAAAAAGTTAGGTTAGGTTAGGTTAGGTAGGTTAGGTAGTCGAAAAACAATTAATTCATGAAAACTTGGCTTATTAGGCAAATCGGGCCTTGCATAGTAAACTGAGAAGTGCGTTCTGGCTACTAGGTACGACATATATATATATATATATATATATATATATATATATATATATATATATATATATATATATATATATATATATATATATATATATATATATATATATATATATATATATATATATATATATATATATATATATATATGTCGTACCTAGTAGCCAGAACGGACTTCTCAGCCTACTATGCAAGGCCTGATTTGCCTAATAAGCCAAGTTTTCATGAATTAATTGTTTTTCGACTACCTAACCTACCTAACCTAACCTAACCTAACTTTTTCGGCTACCTAACCGAACCTAACCTATAAAGATAGGTTAGGTTAGGTTAGGTAGGGTTGGTTAAGTTCGGTCATATATCTACGTTAATTTGAACTCCAATAAAAAAAAAATTACCTCATACATAATGAAATGGGTACCTTTATCATTTCTCAAGAAAAAAAATCAGAGAAAAACAATTAATTCATGAAAACTTGGCTTATTAAGCAAATCGGGCCTTGCATAGTAGGCTGAGAAGTGCGTTCTGGCTACTAGGTACGACATATATATATATATATATATATATATATATATATATATATATATATATATATATATATATATATATATATATATATATATATATATATATACGAATATATATATATACGAATCTTCTCAATATATCATATGTTTTTCTTCACTGTGCAAGGTAATTGAAAAATTAACTCTCCAAAGTTCATTTTCACTTATATATATATATGGTCTGACACCTAGAAGCATTTCACAAGACTTCTCACATTTTCGAAGACTAATTTTTATGTACTTTTTTTCATGCTCTGTATTCCGTTTGTGTGAGGTGACAGGAAACAAATCAATGAAAAGACAGAACACGAGACAATGGGTATATACAGGTTATTTAACCATGGGTATACAGATTATCTGCTTGCGTATGTGATGGTTCAGGGTCTTGAAGTGGGTAGAATGTAATTATGTGTAGTGCCTCGCTGATATCGAGCCTCCTGTTATCGTTGTATCTGCCGATAATTTCTGTGTTGCTTGTTAAGATTTGAGATTTTTCTCCACTGACGTGAGTAACGTTTCAGGCATGTACTAAACGTAACAGAACAGATGGGGTAACATATTACCTAAAAGTGAACAGTTAATTTGTGAATTTTTCTTGTGTAGGTTTGTGTGGCTGGAGGACTGTGGTCACACCATAGAGGCCGAAGGGCTGCTGGGGTGGCTCTCGCAGGAAGGAGGCGAGGTTGGCATGAAAATGTGTCCCCGTTGCATAAAACCTATATATATTAACCGTCGTTATTATGAATACTTACTGAAGGCATACAAAGATGTAGAAGCTGTCAAACGCCTCTACTACAAAAAGAAGAATCAAGTTCAAAAGGAGGAAATTTTGAAAGAGATTCAAGGTAAAGATAGTTTTTATTCTTTGTTGCAATTAATTTGAATTAAATTTGAAGAAGGAAAATATATTAATAAATTGCTGGAGTTTTTTTTTTGGTGTTAATAACATTGGTTAAATTATTTGTATAATTTGCAATACCTGAGCTTAACTGTGAGAAGCCAAGATGTGTTTGGCATGGAAAATGAGAGTGTTAAAAGAACAGTATTCATAGGTCTAAAGTTTAAATAAAGGTATAAATAGGTTATTTGTTTTTGTTCAAGCTAAAAGGTGTGAATATCTATAACCACCATATAAGGGTTAAGCAAATATATGTTAAGCACAATACGTATATTGTTAAGTTTATAAAAGCCCAACCAAGAAATAAATGACATTGGCAATATTGTTGCTTGCTCGGTGAGTGAGACCATATAACCTAGCTACAGGTTCGTCTCTTCTGAATTATGGAGTGTTGCGGGGACACGCGGCAAGAGTCATGGTGTGTTGCGGGGACGGACGCTGCAAGAGTTATTGTGTGTTGCGGGGACGGACGCTGCAAGAGTTATGGTGTGTTGCGGGGACGGACGCTGCAAGAGTTATGGTGTGTTGCGGGGACGGACACTGCAAGAGTTATTGTGTGTTGCGGGGACGGACGCTGCAAGAGTTATTGTGTGTTGCGGGGACGGACACTGCAAGAGTTATTGTGTGTTGCGTGGACGGAAGCTGCAAATACATTTCTCCCACTACCTCTTCACTGGACATGGCATCAGCCTCCTGGAATTGGGCGGCACAGTGCACCGTGTGTCCGTGTGGGTTGTACAACTCACCTTGACAGTAGGAGAAAGTAGACTGAAGAAACCCCTTTTTTTGCATTTTGAGCCAGACCAGGAATGGGAATGAGTATCTTGAATGGGGATTTGGGTATATTGGGGAATAATTTGGAATGGGAATAACGAGGAGAGTGGGAATGAGGAGGGAGTGGAAGTGGATTAGAACAGGAGGTGGCCTCTCGTGTAAAGGTTCCCACCACTGAGTGTCCCAACCTCGAGGACCAGAAGTAACCCGAAGGATTAAAGGACCCGAGAGCCATGAGGGCACTACGAGAGTCAACAGCAACTACAAAGGAAGACTGACAACGAGAAAGCGGGAGACGAAGAGCAGAGAGAATAGCATAAAGTTCCGCTGTAAAGATGCTAGTCTCCGGAGGCAAGCGACACATATAAGTGCGATCAGGAAAAACAACAGAGTAGCCAACACCGTCCGCAGACTTAGACCCATCGGTGAAGACAGAAACGGAGCGGGAGTGAGAAGAAAAGTGCTCGAGGAAAAGGCGTTTTAGAACCGCAAGAGGGGTAAAAGCTTTAGTGATTCGGGTCAAGGATATTTAATAAATCAATAGAGTCAGGCAGAGTGCCAAAGTTTTGGAAAGTTGCTAATGTGATACCAGTTTTTAAGAAAGGAGATAGATCACTTGCGTCTAACTATCGACCAATTAGCCTAACGTCTATTGTGGGAAAGTTACTCGAATCTATAATAGCAAATAAAATTCGTCTTCATCTTGAAAAACATAAATTAATAATTGAGTCGCAACATGGTTTTATAAATGGCCGTTCATGTTTAACAAATTTGTTATCTTTTTATTCTAGCATAGTTGAGGCAGTTGATAGTGGTAAGGATTGTGATGTTGTGTACCTTGACTTTAGCAAAGCTTTTGATACAGTGCCACATGAAAGACTGATTAAAAAGATAGAGGCTCATGGTATTGGGGGTGCTATATTAAACTGGATTAGGGCATGGCTATACCAAAGGAAACAGAGAGTTAGTATAAATGGAGTCAAGTCAGAGTGGGAAAATGTTGTAAGTGGAGTGCCTCAAGGCTCTGTCCTGGGACCTCTGTTGTTTATAATATATATAAATGATTTAGATTCAGGTTTGAGTAGCAACATTTGCAAATTTGCCGATGATACGAAAATCGGTAGGGAAATTAATTCGGAGGAGGACTCACTATCACTTCAAGTTGATCTAGATAGGGTTTTGAAATGGTCAAAGGATTGGCAGATGCAGTTTAATGCTGATAAATGTAAAGTTCTGAGGTTAGGTAATGATGATAGAGTTACAAGATACGAGCTAGATGGTGTTGTGATTGCGAAGTCGGATTGCGAAAGGGATCTGGGAGTTATCATTAGTAAGAATTTAAAACAAAAGGATCAATGCATAAATGTTCGTAATAAGGCAAATCGGACACTTGGATTTATTAATCGCAGCGTTAGTAACAAGACACCTGGTGTGGTTCTCAAGCTATATCTTGCTCTAGTTAGGCCCCATTTAGATTATGCAGTTCAGTTTTGGTCGCCATATTATAGAATGGATATAAATTCACTTGAACGTGTCCAGCGTAGGATGACTAAGTTAATTCCCCAAATTAGAAATCTTTCATATGAAGAAAGATTAACAAAGCTTAAGTTGCATTCACTGGAAAGTCGAAGAATTAGGGGTGACATGATAGAGGTTTACAAGTGGATGAATGGACATAACCGGGGGGATATTAATAGGGTATTAAAAGTATCAACACAGGACAGAACACGAAACAATGGGTATAAATTGGATAAGTTTAGATTTAGGAAAGACTTGGGTAAATACTGGTTCAGTAACAGGGTTGTTGATTTGTGGAATCAATTGCCGCGTAACATTGTGGAGGTGGGGTCCCTCGATTGTTTCAAGCACGGGTTGGACAAGTATATGAGTGGGATTGGGTGGTTATAGAATAGGAGCTGCCTCGTATGGGCCAATAGGCCTTCTGCAGTTACCTTTGTTCTTATGTTCTTATGTTCTTAAGTATAATTGCCTTGTGCTGGGTGTTGAGTGTACTTGTGTAAAGTCCTAGTTTTATTCATCTACATGTACTCGCGTATTTGTACTAGCCCATCGAGAGACCTATTCACCCGTAGACCATCGAGAGACCTATTGCACTCCTAGGCCATCGACAGACCTATTGCATTTCTAGGCCATCGAGAGACCTATTGTACCCCTAGGCAACCGAGAGACCTATTGCACTCCTTGGCCATCGACATACCTATTGCACCTTAGGCCACCGAGAGACCTATTGCACCTCTAAGCCCTCGAGAGACCTATTGCACCCTTAGTCCATCGAGAGACCTATTGTACCCTAGGCCATCAACAGACATATTGCACTCCGAGGCCATCGAGAGACGTATTGCACTTCCAGGCTATCGGCATACCTAATGCACACTTAGGCAATCGAAAGACTTATTGCACTACTAGGCCATCAACAGGCCTATTGCACCCTAGGCCATCGAGAGACCTATTGCACTCCTAATCCTAAGCCATCGAGAAACCTATTGCACCCTATGCCATCGAGAGATCTATTACACTCCTAGGCCATCGAGAGACCTATTGCACCCTAGGCCATCGAGAGACCTATTACACTACTAGGCCATCGAGAGACCTATTGCACCCTAGGCCATCGATAGACCTATTGCTCCCTAGGCCATCGAGAGACCTATTGCACTCATAAGCCATCGAGAGACCTAATACACCCTAGGCCATCGAGAGATCTATTGCACTCCTAGGCCATCGAGAGACCTATTGCACCCTAGGCCATCGAGAGACCTATTACACCCCAACGTCACCGAGAGTCCTATTGAACCCCTAAGCCATCGAGTGACCTATTGACCCCTAGGCCCTCGAGAGACCTATTGACCCCTAGGCCATCGAGAGACCTATTGCACTCCTAGGCCATCGACAGGCCTATTGCACCCTAGGCCACCGAGAGACGTATTGCACCCCTAGGCCCACGAGAGACCTATTGCACCCCTAGGCCATCGAGAGATCTATTGCACCCTAGGCCATCGAGAGACCTATTGCACTCGTAAGCCATCGACAGACCTATTGCACCCTAGGCCACCGAGAGACCTATTGCACCCCTAGGCCCTCGAGAGACCTATTGCAGCCTTAGGTTATCGAGTGAGCTATTGCACCCCTAGGCCATCGAGAGACCTATTGCACCTCTAGGCCATCGAGAGACCTAATACACCCTAGGCCATCAAGAGACCTATTGCATTCCTAGGCCATCGGCAGACCTATTGCAACCTAGGCCATCGAGAGATCTATTGCACCCCTAAGCCACCGAGAGACCTATTGAACCCCTAAGCCATCGAGAGACCTATTGACAACTAGGCCATCGAGAGACCTATTGCATCCCAAGGCCATCGACAGACCTATTGCATCCTAGGCCACCGAGAGACCTATTGCGCCCCTAGGCCCTCGAGAGACCTATTGCACCCAAGGCCATCGAGTGACCTATTGTACCCTAGGCCATCGAGAGACCTATTGCACCCCTAGGCCATCGACAGACTTATTACACCCTAGGCCATCGAGAGAACTAATACACCCTAAGCCATCAAGAGACCTATTGCACTCCTAAGCCATCGACAGACCTATTGCACCCAAGGCCATCGAGAGAACTATTGCACCTCTAAGCCATCGAGAGAACTATTGACCTCTAGCCCATCGAGAGACCTATTGCACCCTAGGCAATTGAGAGACCTATTGCACTCCTAGGCCATCGACATACCTATTGCACCTTAAGCCACCGAGAGACCTATTGCACCCCTAGGCACTCGAGAGACCTATTGCACCCGTATTCCAACGAGAGACCTATTGTACCCTTGGCCATTGACAGACATATTGCACTCAGAAGCGATCGAGAGACCTATTGCACTCCTAGGCTATCGAAAGACTTATTGCACTCCTAGACAATCAACAGACCTATTGCACTCCAAGGCCATTGACAGACCTATTGCACCCTAGGCCATCGAGAAAACAATTGCACTCCTAATCCTAAGTCATCGAGAAACCTATTGCACCCTATGCCATCGAGAGAGCTATTGCACTCCTAGGCCATCGATAGACCTATTGCACCTTATGCCATCGAGAGACCTATTGCACTCCAGGGCCATCGAGAGACCTATTACACCTTACTCCATCGAAAGACCCACTGTTCTCCTA